TTTGTGGCGGTCTTCTGCCCTCTGTGTATGGGGGATGTCACTAGAACCAAGGCTTCCCCTGGGTGTTACATGATGTGGGGCCTGTAACAATCCCCATGTCATCATTGACGCTCATGTAGATTTTCAGCGCCCTTTTCCGGGCCTTGCAGCGGCCGGGCCTATCCACTGTAATGTATCGTGCCTGGCCTATTGCAATGCCCATGGGCATGCAGCTGATGATGCTGATGCGTTTCGTACTCTTTTGCGGCCGGAGCCACCAATCCAGGGGCGCTTGACTTGGACAACCAGTGGCCGTCGGCAACTGGAATCCAGCTTTCCCATGGTTGCACTCATGTAGACAACGTGCTTGTTCGATGCTGTTGAATCGCCGTGCACGTGAGTCTCACCCAGCCGGCGGGATCGCGCTCCTCAGGGCGGCGAGGGCAGCTCCTGGTGGCGAACGGTTCGGCAGGTACCTTGTGGCGTGAAGATCGTGAAGCTTGAGAAGTTGCTCCAGCATTCTCCACTGTTCAGAAGGAATGAGGGGTTTTGGTGCTCACTGCACCCTGCAAGCATTGGAGAAAGACATGTGCCATTATGAGCTTGTGCTCGAGATGGTCGACACATGGCAACACAAAGGTTTCATAGTGCAGCCATGCATGTTTTCTGCTGAGTGACGGTCCAAATTGCCTGGAGTTGTTCTACAGTGACATCAATCAGTGGCCGGGCGCTTTGCCATGTCCTCAACTTCAACCATTTGTACAAGAAGGCTATACCGTTTGCTCCCCCAAAAGATCAATTCAAATCAATACCACATGCGGTAAGGTGCATGACCTAGTGATCTTATGTGATCTTAGGAGCCTTCCCTCAATTATTTCAGCGAGGAAGCAAGATGAACTGCTGGTGTAAAAAGACAAACGAATCGAACAACCTCGATACTTCGATTGGGCGAGGGGGCTAGGGATCTACCCACACATGGGTATCAACCCGGAGGACAGAAACAAGATCTCTTTTTGCGTTGCCTGAGGCAGAAGTTGTCGCGGTCTACCAGGCCAAGAATTCCTTCCTTGGCTGCCAGTGTTTCGATCGACGGATTCTGACCCGACACGACTGTGAGATGCGTAAAACACCAACCATGCAGTTCGGACGGCTTCGAATTTTCCGTTGGCGATATACTGCTGCCCATCAGTGGGTGATGATCTTCAGAAAAGAAGAGAGACTCATCCCAAGAAGCTCACCCCAATAGGCCCTAATCCGTCCTGTCGCAGCACGTGCCCATAACCTTGGTCATGTGTTTGTTGCCATCCCAGATGGTTTTTGATGGTTTTCGATAAAGCCCCGACCATCCACCACAATCATGCACTGTTTAGTGGAATTGAGACAGGCGCGGTATGGGTGTGGGTCAAGTCGGATGATGCTCGGACCATGCTGCACAGAACCATTTTTGACCATGGCATGTATTATTGTCATTTCGGATCATGTCTTCCCAACGAGCACCAAAGCTCCCTGCATTCCAGGAGCACCGAAGCTCCGCTTTTGAGCTGCAGCCAGGTTGCCCCAGTTGGGCACGTTGGGAGTGCCCGTTTGACACAAGATTGTATGACACCCGTAACTGCTCGGAGCAGAGAGAACAGGTTTTATTTCTTGCACATGTTTCTAGCATTTTCCTTGAGATATCTTTTGATGAATCGGCATCTTGCTATCTAGAGGGCCATGTGCTTGGAAGGATCTTGCATTTAGTCTTGTAAGTTCTGCTCATCGGTGGTTTGCTTGCGTTTCATTCCTTTTGCGACTGCTGCGGCTCACCCCCTCGCATGTGGGGGTTTCACTCCGCATCTGAGCCATCCGCTCCACCAGTGGAGTTGACACCTGTCAGCCAATCGACCACGGGCGTGAAGTTGAGCTCGAAACTGAGGCAGCTGGCCAAAAAGCGGAACGAACATGCAAAGCCGCTGGCCGAAAAGTGGGCCTCGGTGGAGTCCACCAATCTGGGGATGCGTCCGGGCATGGGGGGTGCGAAGAAAGGCAGCGCGGTCTAGGGGTGTGGACGAGGTGTGAACCGAGATGATGTTCACCAAAAAGATATTTTTTTCAGAAAAGGGACGTTCATGATGACGTTCATTCATCATGGCTGAAGAGCTTGTGATCATGGTCGCTTGGCAGCGTTTTGATGGATTCGAAGCTTTCATTCGTCTGAGTCTTATGCCACCGTGGAAGTTTACCTGCTGGTGAGGAATTTTTGATCTTCGTGGGCCCAGGTCGATGAAAGGCAAGATGGAACCTGACGCAAGGCAAGCCTTGATCGAAGAAGGAAAGAAAATCAAGGAGGACTGCAGAGCTTGCCAACTTGACCCAACTCTTGGAGAGTGGCCCATTCCATGTGCATCGATATCGATGTGTTGCAAGAATTGGATTTGTCGCCGCTCTATTGGTTTAGGCTTTCAGCTAGCAGCACTGAGCAAACTGATACGTCGCCGCCACAAGCCAACCGCCCTCCCATGAGCCTAGTCAAGCTCTCATCCAACAAAAATGGAAATGGAACATGCCCCCTCACGGTACTTACGTATTACAGGACAACGAGGCTGTCCGGAGTCCACCTCCGAATATTTGTTCGAAGAGAGGGCAAACACAGGTGAAGGCAAGCCCAAAACACCAGCTCAGCCGAATCCGCAAACAACTTTGAGAGCCTAGATGTTTGGATCATGTAGTCAATGTGATGATCTAGCCGGTGCAGTGGTTCCGGCCTTCTCGTGTTGCATTTTCCTTCCCCCAAACCTGGGGCCAAAAATGGCCCAAACAATGGCCTTCAGGAGATTAGCTCCATGGAAGCAAAGGTGGATGCGCTGAGCACCAAGATGAATTCTCTCGCGCTCGCGGCAGGGACGCCCAGGAAGGTCACATCCCAGACTCAACGAATGCCCCAACCCACGAGGAGGTTGGGGAAGAAAAAAGCCGCTGAGGCTTTTTGGAAATCAAAGCGCTCAGAGGATCAGCAAATGCCTGTTATGCCTGCATGTCTCAATGCCTGCACAGGGATCTCAAAAGATAGTACAAGTGGTATGAAAGGTCTGGCTCCCCTGCATGCCTCATGTGCAATCCAGCGTCAATCCGGTGACGAGTACCAGCAGCTGCGACAGCACTCCATCTCGCCTCGGGACTAGCATGCAAGTGGAAACCAACGATCCGTTTTCCACTTCCATGTGTGGTGAGTCAGGGGGTCACATGCCAATGGCAAAAGGCAACCATTATCAGACTCTTCATTGCAATGGAACTTCCTTTTCAAGGCATCGAAGCTGCCAGCCCCGAGAGATTGAGTCCTAGACCTCGTTGGGCCACTTTTTTTGCTTTTGAGGTGCCCAATTTGACGCACCCGGCCCGGGAGCATGGGGCGACATGGGGCGAAGGTGAATGTCCGTTGAAGGAAAACGGGTCTGAAAAAGGACAGACTCTCGAAAGGAGCAGAAAAGAGACAACGACTCTTACTGTATATATCTGTATATTCTCTTTTGTTGGGAAATTCTAATATTTTGTAAAGCAGGGTTGAATCCTTTGTCCTTTCTTTTGTTATACATAGCAGCTTCGCGCTTTTGGTGTTGGTGTTGTGTCAGAGGCATCAGATAGATCCGCAAAAAGCTGGGAAATCGTGTAGAAGCCTGACCGCCCCGCGCAATCCATGAATGAACGTTCTAGCCGTTTGGGTGCACTTTTCCTGGTATGTTTGTCTTGTCATGTCATGGGGCCAACCTGCTCCTGCCTGGCGGCGAGTCTCAACCCTGATTTGCGAACCCAAGTTGTTATTCCTCAGGATACTCCCATTGGCGAGGAGGAGAATGCTACAGCGCCTTGTAACGTGAAAATCACGGGAGGCTTCTCGGGCCGGGCGTGTAACAATGATCAACAACCTCCAAGTTGTTCCACCACTCCCATTTTGCATCCAATTTGCGTCTGCCCAACTGCCTCCGACTTACACACTGGCAAGGTAGTTATGGTGAGGGTAGTGACGGAGTCTTCCAAGGGGGTCGGGACATCGACGTTTATTTGTTGTTTTTTGCAAGTCTTGAGGGGGAAAGCCGGGCGGATTCACAATGATGTGGCACGCCAGCCAAGGACTCACATGTTTTCGAAGTAACTTTTAACCTTCTCCAGCCCGTAGCAACCACCAGGGACCTCGACTTGAGACTGACTTGAGCCTCCGACTCGCCGACCTCCGACCCTCGCCGAGCTCCTGCGAAACCCTACCTGTCCAGGTGCTGCGCACCCATGGCACTCCGCTCAGCTCGGAGAACGCCGGCTTCAAGTTGAGAGATCATTTGGAGCTAGGAGGGGCGAACCGTTCCTCTCATTCAGTTGGGTTGTTGGGCGAGTCCTGCCCCGCGGGCGAGGGAACGGGCGGTTTTGAGTGACCGCCCAAAGGAGTTTTCCATCATTTGTCCACAGGGAGGGAAGGGGGAAGAACACGATGGACAAGAACAACAGCTGGTCTCAAAAGGGCAGGCTGGTGGATGTAATGTAGGTAGACATTTGTTCTACTGTTACATGGGTAGTTTTCAACAGTTTTTTAGCCTTAGTGATGTCTTAGTCTTAGTAAAAACAAAAAGTATGATATGGAGGAACAGACCAGTGAAGTATGTTTGGCGATTCTGTGGGCTCTCACGAGGCGAGGTGCCACATTGAACAGGGTAGAAGTTGAAGAGGGTGCTCTCTAAGTGTTGGTAGCAGTCCCATGTAATCCACTGCATGTACTTAGGAACTGCCCGGGCAGTTTGGGGAACCTCGGTGTGAATGACTCAGTCGTCCCAGTGCGTGCCAGTGCGTGAGTGCTGGTTCACAATCGTGGCCAGTCATGGTGAGCCCATGCTAGTGCCCGTGCTTTATCATGTTTTCATGTCTTGGGTTCTTTTGGAATCACGCTCTTGAACACACGTCTGCGGGGTATCTGGGATGCTTTTTCTATTCTCCGCTTCTTTAGTGCTCGAAGACGCCCTCCTTTGCATGTGGCTTTCGTATGCGAGATGGCATTGATGCAGAGGGGCTGGCACGCAGTACATGCCCTCTTGGAGATTCCAGCGGCTTCGCCATTGGCTTTGATACTGCTTGCGCTGGATTTGGTTCTAACCAGCTTAATCGTTTGGAAAGTTCCCTTTACAAATGTGGACTGGGAAGCTTATATGACAGAGGTGGAGTTCGTTCTTCGTGGTGAATTTGACTACCAGCAGATTTCCGGCCCCACAGGGCCCATCGCCTATCCAGCAGGCTTTTGCTGGCTCTACGGTAGCTTCCGCTGGTTAGCGCTGGAGTTGTCTCAGGTGCAGACCATATTTGCAGGGCTCTACCTAGCAACCATGCTGGTCCTCTTGAAGATCTACAGGCATGCAAAGGCACCGCTCTGGGTCTTCGGGTTGTGTGTTCTGCACCTTGGTTCAAAGGGCAGCCTTCAAGCGACATCATGACATCTTGAAGTTTCGGAGTGTGTGTGGGTGGGCATTCCAGCAGTTCTTAGGCTTGTGCCTCTTGTGGGGCTTGGGGCCCCCACAAAGGCTCTGTGGGACACATGTCACGGCCTTATGCAATTGATGGGCCCTTGACCAATTGGCATCGTCTGACGTAGATCTCGGCGTCGGAGATCACCTCCATAAGGTCCCTGCGTTGTCATTCGATCTTCGTGCTTCGTCTCTTCAACGATGCAGCTGCACAGTTCTTCTGCTACTTCGCACTGCTGCTTTTGCTTGAAGGTTGCCACAGGCCAGGCATGGTGGGGGGGAAGGCTGGAACACACCACACGATTCAGAGAGCACTGCATCTTGTTTTGACATGTTTTGACCTCGTGCGGCAGTGTCAACCTGGCAGTGCCCTTCTGAACTGCCTTGGATGCAAGAAACGACCAACTTTTTTTAAAGGGGAGCCTATCACGGAGTATCGTGCCATCATATGCCATCCTTCACCTGGAGAATCGAGTCTGTCTTCAGGAACAAGCACCAAACTCTGTTTTCAGGACCTGTCGAACCATGTGAGGATTGGACCGGGTTCCGCTGGTGGGTCGGCCATGTGGACAGAGGTTTCCCGGGGCGACCGGGCTGACCCTGACCATCCCCTAAGAGGTTCCTCTTGCAGATTTTGGTCCGATTTTGTCCATCACTCATGATGATGTGAGTGGATGTGGGACTGTGCCAGACGCACTGGGGAAAGAACTTGGGGACCTGGTCGGACGTGGCGCGATGGATGTTCTCCTTTTGTGCGACCGGGAAGGTGAGATGGAAAAAGGGTGATAGAGTTGAAATAGTCTAGGAGAATTGCACCAAGATTCGTGAGGGCGGGTTGTAAATGATGAATGGTTCCATCCACCATGGCATGGAGTTCTGCTAGTTTTGTCCTCAAGCTGAAAAGTTGTATGGTTTGCTTTAGCAACAGATGGTGCTCAGGTCCTCATCTTTGATCTACTCGCTGTCAGTTAGCGTGAAGATGCAGCCACTGCTGGTTTGCCCAGTGGTTGGCCTTTACTTGGCACCTAGGCCCAACAGGCAAACTGTCCAGGACAAACTTATTTGTTCAGCATGGAGATTGATTGGTGGACGGTTACAACAAGATGTGGAACCTCCTGAGTGTTCTCTTGCAAGTGATCCTGTGTTGCCCTTACGTTCAGGCGAATTTGTACTCCAAAGGAATCAAGCAAGGTATAGACTTGGAGATTCCCAATGCCCAACCTAGGTCTTGCATGGCTGGAAGAAGGCCTTGAGTTGCATTGCGACCATGCTGGTGCTGCAGCTTTTCTTGGCCCTACCTTTCCTTCAGGCCAACCCTTGGGCATATCTCCGCTTGGCCTTCGGAGGCAGGAGATGTGAACGAGAACCCTGGTCCTTCGCTCCCCAACGTCTACCTGCCACACTCCTGCACCCCCATGAATTCCTTTATGGGATGCCTTTCCTCTCATGAAACTCCCTTATAGATCCTTATGGGAGCTAGGCTCTCGACTGAATGTTTGCCTGATATTGTGATCCCACTCCTCAGACCGGAGGCCCCGGCGATTTGCAGCACGCCTGGTCCGTGAACTGGCGCCACCCGAAACGAACTGGCGCTCGTGCCACCGGCGGAACTCGCTGGGGCTTGGGATGTGTTGAGGACCGAAGAAGCCAGACCTGAAGTTCACAAACCATGGACTTTCTTGATGATCGCATGCGAAAACATTTCCTTTTTTTTTTTGTGGGGGGGGGTTGAGATGGTTGAGACACAACATCCAGAGTGATGAGGCGGGGGTTCCACATTCCAGGAGGCTTCGGCTTCATGCTGTCTTTCTTGACCCGCTGATGTACTGGTAATTGTCACCTGACCTCCGCTGGACCTGCCGGTCAGCTTCGGCTCCCTGCGGTGCTTCGGTAGGCCCATCGTCACCGGAAAGACTCTTCAGTCCAGTCCAATGCCATGTAACACTGAGGCTTCTTGCCGGAGGTGCTCTTTACCAGTCGTGCGTTTGTCCTCCCACTGCTGCTGCTCCACATCCTTTTGCTCCTCTATTTCGCCCACTTCCGGTGGATTCCAGGTGGCTTCCTGGGGCGCAGCATTCGTCGCTGGCACGTGGAGCCGGTCGCCCGAGCTGGTGCTTTGGAGCCCAAACAGCTGGTGGCCATGTGGTTCACTTGCAACTTTATTGGCATCGCGTGCCTTCGCACCATGCACTTCCAGTATCTCAGACAGGAAGTCGGGATCGGAGGCGAATGGGGTGCAGATGCAGTGGTCGTGGCCCAGTAGTCGTGGTTTTATCAGGGTCCCTGGAGACAGTGGGTTTCGAAAAGGATCCTCGCGGACCAAGGCAAGGTTTGGCGGGACAGGTGTTCCAAGTGTTTTCATCGTTCTACGTACCGAAGAATATTACAGTGGATCCCTGAGCCGGTCCCGACTGCACCATGGGTCCTACCTCAATCGCACTCAATCACCTTAGTGATTGTTTTTCAATTGAACTTCTCGATCTTCTGCTGCAGGACATGGGGGGCCCCCCAAATGTTCTCCCCCCACAAGGCGTCTCAAACCTCAATGACTGTCTTCTGGTGGTGCGCCAACCTGACTCCTCGAATCTGCCCTCTAAGGTTCTTGGTTTGGTACTTCCACACCGTGCCTGGAGTTCGCGCTTTCAAGAGAGCTTTTGTTTTGCTTTTTAGGTGTACCTGTAGCGAAAACACACCGACCCCGAGTCGTTGAAAAGCTTGCAGACTTTCTAAATTGACTGTAATTCGTGATTCTACCCAACCTGCTATTGGGCCGAGAGGTGCCCTTCCTCGCCTGGTTCGCCCTGGGGGCGACCTCGCTGCAGCGGTGCCTGGGGGTGGTGGCCTTGACCGGCCTGGTAGAGCTGAGCTTCTTGATCACCACGCATGGCCAAGTGCGCGGACCGGACGGCCGCAGCTGGAACACCAAGGGCGTGCCCAGCTGGCAGGGAAGCCTCATCCTGCAGGCATGGGTGCAGCAGAGAGTGAAGGAACAGAGCCAGCAAAGCCCCGGGGTCATCCGCGGATGCTGGTGAAAGCAGGGTGAGCTTTGAGGTTTTGAGGTGCTTTGTGTGATACGTTTTGGGAGGTATCATGGAAGTATGATGGGTCCTGCTCTTTGGGATTGAAGTCTTTCCTTCCCAAGCACAAGCGGCTTCGGTTCTGATCAGGTACCGTATGCCGTATGCCCATGAATTGCTCCAAGCTATGTAAACTGATGTAAACTGGCAATTGTTCATTCAATTTTCCCTTGGTAGAGAAGGTCATGTTGAGATATGTTGACTTCCGGGAGTTGCAAAACCCCAATGGGTGAGGTGAAAGCTGGTGAGAGTCGGGTGACGTCGAACGAACTCGCGCGCAGGTCGCGCATGGCTTGCTCTTGGGCTTGCTCCTGTGGAGCCCGTTTTTGTGCCCGGGGAAAGAAAGACAGCGCAGGTCACGGAGCCGAGACTCAATGAGACTAGCTAAGACTTAGGGGGGTTCAGAAATACGAAAACAATCGAAAACAACAAATTAAGTATAGGATTTTTGAGATGACTGGTCTTATGTGGTCTTATTGTAGCCGGGCGGTGCTGGTATGTCACGGTCGGTCGGCTTTTTGGTGCGAAGAACGCGATGGGTTTGTTATGTTTCATTTGCATCATCTAAGCCGATGGTACTCGTACATGTACACTGCCCTCAGCGTTGCCAGGAGAGATGCTGGATCTCTTTGATTTCGAGTCCGGCGGGAAGGCCAGGCTAAGCCTCGCGCAGCGGAGCTCCGGGTGAAGCGTCCAGGCTCCGACCGGTCTCCCGGATGCGCCGAACTCGAGGTGAGTGGCCAGAAGTTTTTGTGCGCCCGGGGGGACGGGGGTCTTGGCTTTCACTGACCCCTACGCATTCCAAGGGTCTGCTGCTAGGCGATCCAAGGTTGCCTTCTAGACGTTTATACAATGAAGAATATCATGCACGTTTCAAGGATTTCATTCCTTTTTAATTGCTCGGCTTCCATGAGGTGATCATTTCATATCATCAAGGCTTCGCGCCCCCCTTCTCACACCGTCCCTCACACCGTCAAGCCTTATCCATGCATTTCCATGCCCAACCTGTCCCGCCTTGATCATCGATCCATGGGTCCCACCCCTCTCCTTGCTCGGACCAGCCGATCACGTACTTGGGCTTCCGAACCGATCGGCACGTTCTCAGGTGCGTTGCCCAGGTGGTCGACCTTTGGTCCGCTTCGCTTTCAACTTCAACAATCAAAAGGTTCGTTCTCGTTTGACAGGATGTGTTCACATCTGCAACCAAACACCCACCAATTGCTGTGTACTGGATGACGTACAGTATCTCCTGACACCTCTTTCCCTCTGTTTCCGGGTTTCGCCGACAATCGGAGATACCTATATCGCACCTCGCAGGTACTTCAAGAATGGCGCAGCGCTCCTGGAGCTGGCTCTCATCCAATGGGCCACGCACCAGGCGGTGAAGCGAGGCTTCCAGCCCTTCATTCCGCCAGACCTCGTGCGGGCGCGGGGGTGTCCACCGTCCGTGCGGAGCGAATGCGCGGAGCGAACGGGGGTGTCCACCGTCGGGTGCAGGGGGAGGGTTCGGAGGTCGGGACATGTTGGGGTTGGATAGATTTGGCAGGGCAGGTGATTCAGATCCACCTGGGTTCAGGCAATTGGTGTGGCATCCTGTACATCTTTTGATGGCTTTTGCATGCTTTGATTATTGGTCGAAGTAGGTTGAGACCTCCAGTCTTCTTTCGCCCCCCTGCTGAGAGTGAAGCGACTTCCCCAAGCCAGGCCAATCCGGACGGTGGAATAGCAGTAGCTAGCTAACAGTAGTGGCTATGGTGTAGCAGCCCCTGCCTAAGTGACTTCAAGCCGGAAGAAACTTGCGCAATCCTACCCAGTGGAATTCCGTTGCGACTTATATTCAAATATTCCAAACACTATATCACAATTGCTATATATATGTATTGTGGACCTAGGGATGGTACTGAAGCTCTTGGTGGCGAGTCTTGAGTGGTTCGATTGGCCTTCTCCGTCCAGGCTCCAGTGGTGGCGGGCTGCGGCTTTGCCCCCCGGGACGATGAAGCTACCCAGAGATTCGGCGGATTTGTCGGGGGATCTGCCAGGGCCAGCCGGGGGGGAAGTTGGAGAGCCAGCAGCTGACCGGTGTGTGACAAATGGTCTGTATAGGTTCCTGACAGAGAGAGAGAGAGAGAGAGAGAGAGAGAGAGAAAACACACGAGGCAGAGAGAGGCAGACAAGGAGACCATTGCCCATAGTTAGTTAAGGGGCTTGACTCCTTGATGATTCCGTGTTTTCAGTTTGTTTTGCTTTGTAGGGCTTGCAGGTGGTGAATCTGATGGGTCAATCGGTGTGAGGGAAGGATCAACCTGATCGCACTTTCGACCAGGTCCACTTCTATCCTCTCCCTTCTTCATTATGAACATCCTTTTGGCGTCCCGACTCCTGGGGTCTCCTGGGGTGTCCCGACTCCTGGGTTTGAAAGGTCGAAGACTCGCTCTGCGCAGAGCTGCCACCACCTGCCACCAGACCGGTGGAGCGACCGCCCCTCCAGACCGGTGGAGCGAGTCTCCTCCTAAGGATCTACGAGGTGAGTCGGCGCCTGAGAAGGGCCCCCAGCGCCGGCGAAGGGGGAACATGGCTGTGGCACCGGGCGGATCCTGGGTTGACCACCAAAAATGAACAGAATAGACTATTAAGGAGGTCAATCTACCCTGGTGAAAGGGGATCTGGGTTCTGATCCACAGCCATGTGAACTACTTGCAAGTCTCCTTCAGTTCCGTTTGGTGTCAAAGCTCTCGCGCAGAGTTGGTGGCGCCACCAACGGGTCGACACATTGCAGGGTCGACCTGCGCAAGAAACCTCGCTGCGCAAGCAGATGCGAACGCAGCTTGTGTAGAGAGCAATTGGCAGGTGATTCAGATCTTTGTCTAGCTGGAACAGCGGAGATTCCTATGGCAGGCAGATCTTGCAGATCACAATCACAGCGCAAGTTGTCTCTGAGTGTTGCCAAGTCTTGAACATGTATTGTTCATTCTGCTGATGTCTCATGTTGAGAGAGGTCAACCATGGTCAACCTGCAAATCCCGATTGATATCGATTGATCAACACTATTGATTGGAGCGCCCTGCCCTGTGCTTGGGGCTCCCTCATTTTCATCTGCAGGAACTTCCATCATGCGAGTCAATGGTGGGAGTATTCATGCTGTTGCATTATGAGAACATGATAGAACTTGTATAACTGAGTGACTATGATGTATGACTTATCATTGCCTCTTTCTTGGCCATGTATGCATGATGTTCCATTTCATTCCCGTGCCCCTGAAGCCTCTGACTGCCAGCTGCCAGGCATGTTCCTGAACGAGACGCTGATCGCTTCGAAGGCGCGACACCGACACCTCCGGTGCTCCGCGACCCGCGCGGGTGTCGTCGCTCTCCAGGAGCTCCCGAAGCGACTGGTGGCTTTCAGTCACGCCTTCCGGACCGAGGAGAGCCGTGGAGAGCCGTGGGCCGTTGGGGAGAAGGAAGGCAACGAGAGTTCTCTGGTCTACGGGTTGGGTGTTGGGTGTTCTAAACAAGGTCCTATGCTATGAGGGGAGGAGGCGTATATTATATATATTCATATATCATTTAGCAGCTATATACTCTGAGTAAACAAAAGCTCGTGCTGTTGGAAGAAGAACTGTTGCTCCGACTGTGGCACAATTTGCTCCAACATGCTCCAACGTATTTTCTCAGGAAGAGCTTGGGCTGTATATTATATACACACATTACTTTAAAAATATATATATATATATATATGTGCGTGTCAAAATGAGACAATCGCCCATACACCATCAAGAACCGTTTTGGCTGCATGGTTGTTCCTTTTTGTGCACGCCAGTGCACGCTCTCTCCAACCAAGACCGATCTCTCTCAACCAGGCAGGATCCTCAGGGTCCGAGAACCGCGGCATTTATCGGCTGCACCAATTCAGCAAGGCCGGAGGAAGTGCTGCGCGAGGTGTCGCGCGTGTGGAGAATTGCTCTTGCGTGTGTCGCCAAAGGAGAGTCAACCACTGCGAGATTTGAACATTTCACCCCTCCCTGTTCCAGTTCTCCAGTTTCGGGCTCCTGAGCTGCTCCATAAGAAAGCCTCCCGGCCCAAAAAACCTCTCTGGTTAGAGTTGCCCCGACTTCGATCGCGGCTCGATCCGATCGGTGCGCGCGCAAGGTGGAGCTCTTTGCCGTGACCCGCAGCGAGGTCGAGGAGTCCGGAGGCCTGGACGGAGTCCGAAAGAAAGACTGACGGCGTGCTTTCCCTCCCTCCCATGGAAGCTGACAAGGACCCCCTTGTGGAACATGGTCTTCCTTTCGGGTTTTCCAGTAAGGAATGAGGGAATGAGCATGCAGCATGACGGGTGCATAGATTCCGTTGGTTTCATTCCATTCCCCTCCGATCTTCTAAGCACCAGTCAGAAGAATCCCGCTGTTTTGGCCCACGGGCGCAACGCCTAAGGTCCAACAAGATGTTGGAAGAGATCCGAGCTTTAGAGGAGTGGCCATGGGCTTGCCAGAGTAGAGCGCGGTAGAGGGGAGACTCAAAGATCCCAAAACGGAGATAGACTCCCAGATCCAAACCCTGAAATCATCAGTGGACGTTGACAACCACCCTGTTTGCAGAGTAAAGCGGTCATTGAAGGGGCCACTTCCATGGTCATTTCGGGGAGTGTAGACCTCCGTGACAAGACACGTCAGTTCTCAGCCTCCGGATGTAGCAAGCTCGGGGCCTTTGCAAGTATAATTAATTGTCAGATGTGTGAAAGACGGACTGCTGCTTCAGCATTTGCCAAGGACTGTTTTTTCCCCATAATGGACGGAAGTGAGGGCATCGAAGGAACGCGATCAGATAGCGCCCAAGTCTTGACCATAGACCATGCCAGCTAGAGATTGGAGGTCGCTCCACTACAATGCTTCATGATAGATGCGATGGAGTCATTCACTGTATTGCTTTAAGGGAACTTCTGGCTGCAACCCCCCCGGGTTTCCCGTTGATTCCCCCCCACAGAAACAATGGGAGTCAACCCCTGGCACCCGCCGGCGATACATCGACGCCATGTCGATCTGGGTCGGATGAGGATCGCCCGTGATCGGTTGGAAGCTGGCCACCCCCCAGCTGTGATGCTGAAACCATGCCCTGCATCACTGAACATCAAAAGATATAGCTGTGGCTCAAAACTTGGGCAAAGTGGTTGACCACCGAACATGAACAAAATAGACGACCTTGGAGGTCAACCTACCTATCAAAAGGATCAAAAGGAAGTAGAATGCATTTGCAATTGTATATGTTATACATTACACTATTCATGTTACATCGTTCGTTTGGATCGATTTCAGTGTCCCTCTTAGGCTTTCACCAGACATTCATCGAATGTCCACGCGGGGCAAGACCGCTCACCGGCCAGACGGCGTTGACCTCGGCCAGGAGGAGCTCTTTACTGAGCTGGGCCTTTGCTTCCGAGTGCTGGACATGCAGCGAGCTCAGAGATGGACCTACAGGTTGTGGCGCATCGGTCAGAACCACATCCCTTTGCCCTGGAGGGTCAAAACGGAAAGAGTTTCCATATGTTCAATGGACAAAGGCTCGATCTGGTCAATGTCAACATTGACGCCAATGACAGTTCAGTTCTCATTATATAAGACATCTATCTCGACATTGACGAGGATCACGCATCTTTCCATTGAAATTCTTTCGGTAGGAAATGACCCTTTGGCACGCGTACAGTTCACCACCCCAACTCCAAGGTATGTGGATCCACTCACATCAGGATCATTTTGCGTATGCTCATTGGCATTGCAATTGGACACTTCACGTATTTCCACGTGGTGCCATAGAGCCTGTGGGGAAGAGTGCTGAGACTCTTGACTCTAGACTCTAATCTACTGGTCAGCAGGACGCAGCAAAGATCATGCAAAATCGAACGTTGACCGGAAGTGTGCTTCGAACCGTGGCATCCAGTGTCCATCCCTCGGAGCAGTCCCGGGGACTGGGACAACACCGATGCCGTCCGCTCGGACTTCGTGCAACTTGGCAAGCTTGTTGGAGGCCATCGCACTTCGGTTGGAGGCCATGTTGCACCTACGTCGTCAATGAATCACCGCTTTGAAGAGAAGAGGACCGCTGCGCAGTCCGCTGCGCTCCTTGACGGGCGCATGCCGCGAAGAGGGGCAGTACACCTGCTGGCCCCAAAAAGCCATGCCATGTGCCAGAGGAGTAAGAACCGCCTGGCTGAGGAGAGTCTAGCAACAAAGGAGTTTGGAGCACAGTTCAGCATGACTGAAATTGACAGGACATTTTGGATATGTCTGACCGGACTGCACGCAGCAAGCGTTGAGGGCAGGTGTCAGAACGCTCCATCGATGGACGCCACAAACTGACTGGTGCCTAGTTAAGGAATGGGAGAATGAGCTTTCAATAGAGATTCGAGATTCCTTACAAATCCTTACAATCCATATTCATTCCCTTCGTTCAGCTCGGTCGTACCGGTCCAGTTCCGCCCCAGCGACCCAGGCCCACGGAGGAGCTGGGGGCGCCAGCCTATCGGAAGTACGACATGGAGGAGAAGGGGTGGAAGGGGGCGGCGAAAAAACACGTGAGGGGTGGACTTGGGAGTTCGACATGAACATCTATTTGAACAACTCCCTTGGGGGTGGGTCAAAGCCATTTTTATATGTGCATGAAGGTTTTTTTAGTATGGCACGACCTGAGAGTCGACCATACCGTCGCCGCATTGACCGTCCGACGCGAGAAGTATGTATGTATATATACTGTATATATAAATATACATGCCTGGAACCTGAATGACCTCTACTTTGGACCACCAACAAACAACCCAACATATGGTTTCCCATCAAAACAGAGTGGTATTTATATTAAGCAATTGCAAACAGAAAAGGGTCACCTTTTGAGATTAGAAGGTTTGGTTATCAAAATGCTCCTGGTTGTGGCCACGTAGTCTCTTCGTGAGACCATTGGCCACGGTGCTTCGGGCTTCAGCCAATGGGTTACATGCTCAGACCTTCAAGGAAACTGACCCAGTCACTGTGTTTTTCTCGTGTTGGTTTAGTGGCAGAAAGGCTTGGTCTACAATGACTCACGCGAATCAGATTGGCTGGGGAAGACACCCAAGAACCAGTACCCGTTTCTCCAGCGGATCACACCACGAAGGAAGACGCAACGATCCCACCGAATTCACGAAGAAAATCCTTTAGGAAGCGCCACGAGGATGAATTCAATTCTTGTACAACTGCAGCCCCATCGCAGAAACCGAAGACAGTCAACGTGACAAGACATACCCAACACAGAACGCACAGATGCCAACAGAGCTGAGATGCCGGGCTCCGGGCTTTGGTCAACAAGTTACATTGGCATTTACCGCAACATTAATTGTGATGCATTATGAAGAAACGTGGGAAGGAGTGCTTCTTCTCCGGCTGCTTAGCTGAATGCTTGCCGAATGGCCAGGCCAGGCCAGCATTAGGCAAGCCATGCAGATGCCCAACGGCTGCGGGCAGCGCCGTCGCCCTCTCTCGGGGCTTGGATCCGGTCGGTCGGCGATGGCAGCTCTGGCAGGGTTGAGTTTCTCAGCTTGCCATAGCTTGATATAGCTTGCCCAGGTGGCAAACACAAGGGATCAGTGAACAGGTTGCGAGCCGGGCCTGCTTGTCGCAGTTCAAGGAGCAGGGGAGTCATTGAAGTCTCCAAAAGCAAGCGTTTGCTTTGCGCCAGTTCATGTCGCAATCCTTGGCTATCATCTCACAGCCCTTGCCTGCGTCCACTGGTTGGTCTTGAAGCCATTTCATGTAGTTGATTGCCCAGGGCATCTCTGGGATTTGACGTGCTGTGTTCACCCTAAAACGGTGGGGACCGTTGCAGGGCTAATTTGCATGAGGGAATCACTCCACATCCAAACAAGCGATATCCTGTTGATGTCTGTGTGCACAGGTTGTCCAGCTTTATGCTGTGACAGACAGGTGTGTTTGATCAGGATTATCCATCCCAAGTGATGGTCGACCGGGGGATTTCCAGACTACCCTACCCACTCAGGGAGGCTCCCTGACTGGTAGCAGTCTGATGCCAGTGTCGCCAAAAGCCGGTGGGAGTTGGGAGCAGGGAGTGGTTCGCTGAGTCGCTGGGACGCTGGGAGCGTGGACACACCTGCAACGCATCTCTCAAGAACACATGAACACAAATGACACCAAGTGTCAACTTGGAATGAACCCCAGGAGTCACATGACTTAGAGAAACAGTAGATATACGATGATATACTTAATTGTACTTGTTATTATTGCATATGATTGCTTATTTCTAATGCACCTATATTTCCTTGGTTTCAGCATTAACCCTGAAAATATGGGACTTCCCCCGACCGCCAGGCCTGGATGCCGGGCCTGGAGAAGTGGGGTGAGATCTCCTCCTGCTCCAGCTGCACCGACTTCCAGGCAAAGGGCGGCGAGCGGAAACGGAAGGTGTGTGCATGTGCGAAAACGACGTGTGCATGTGTGGCAGACGGTGCACAACCTATGACTGAGTATGAATTGCTAAGAATCTTTTGCAGGTGCGGAGAATATGCATGGATTCAAAAGGCTTATTAAATAATGCCTATCATATTAAAAATACGTATAATATACATTTGCAGAGCCTAGAGAAAGACCCAAGGCCAAAAATGGAGGCCCTGTAGATGCCAGGCGTTGATTCCGGACATGATTGGACAATAGCACATACTATATAGCCATATTGGATAAAACTCATTGGTTGGATCGACTGATGCAGTAGTTTGTGGCAAGACAATACCCGACTCGGTTGCATATGGTTTGATAAGGACAGTGGTTGGTTGGCAGCCTTGGCTAGGGCAGCTGAGCGAACCGTTTCCTTCCACGGGCCCACGTGCATCATGGCTAGACAGGTTTTGTTGGTCACGTGCTCGGTTGAGCAGGAGTCCGTGAAACCACAACAAGCCATGCCCACAAAAAGCCGGCTGGCGCAGACCCGGAAACGACCCAAGACACCAGCGTTCCGGTTGGAAACACGGATGAACGAGGATGGCGAAACGCGTGGGGCCAGGCCAGACGTCTCAATATCCGTCACAAGGAGGAGTACAACCAGAAGGCCTCGCCCCCGGAGAAGCACTCGGGTGATTTGGCAAAACTGGCACATTGGGGACTTGAGATCAACATGGATGAAGGTCGTTGGAAGATCTCGTTTGGGTTGTGGAAGATGTTGGAGGACCGTTTCAGCCCTCGATTTGGATCGGTGGGGCCGCCCAGAAAGGCTCAAGACTGTTAGCCTGGACCGACCACCATGTGGTGACACAAGCAGAAGACACATCGAAGACACATACAATGAAAGTTGGTTGATTGATGTGTGACATCATGACACATGAATTCACATGAACAGTGAACATCCAAGGCTGCAAAAAGAAAACATCGAAAACGTACCGTACATAACGGTACGGTACATAACGTGCAGAAACAGAATTCGCCTGCGTCCTTCGGACCGGTGCGTGCTCGAAACCCTTCCAGGGGAACCTCCAGTTCGCCCACACGCTGAACGGCACCGCCTGCGCGGTGCCTCGGATGATCATCTCCATCTTGGAAACCTTCCAGAACGAGGCCCGCGGTACCGGGACCCGGATCCGGATCCGAAGGCACGGAGGAAGACGGAAGAGAAAGAGGAAGGACTGGATCGATGAGGATTCAGAATGCCCGCTCTTTTGGGAAGTCAAATCCAAATCCATGATGTTGCATTATATTTAGGGCCTTTAGGGCTTTCAGTCAGCCATTGAAATGCATTAGCTTCATCTCGCAGTTGGCACCTCCAATGGCCAATCCGCAGGATGGGTCCGTGAGCATTCCAGAGGTACTTCAGCCATACATGATGGGCATGAAGGCGGGTCTCAGCAGTTGAGGGTCGGACACTCTGCAAGGGTCGGAATCCTCTAGCAAAAAAGAGTAAAAAAGGACAGCGACAGATGATAGATTCCTGAATCTTTAGGACAGTGATTTCTACCTTGGCTTTTTGTGCAGTTGCTGAGCAAGAACAGCTTTCTAAATGACTGAATCTGACTGAGGTCAGCAGGTTAACAACTCCATCCAACTTCCTGTGTGCCACCCAAGCTGAATGCTCCGACCGTCGACCCCCCCACGCAATTTCCAGGTGCTTGAGCCTAAAGCGCACTGACCAGCGCAGTCCCGATGGTTTTCTTAAAGAGCAGCGGCTTTGATCATGCCATGTAAGGCTGAACGTGCTTGAGAGAACATGAGGAAAGAGGAGGTTCCATTCTTTTCATTTCTTGACCTCAGCGATGCTGAAAGTATATATCCCTCCTTTCGGTAGCTGTTGCAGGTGCCAACTTGTTTGGCCGAGATGTGATTGGATGGGGGCTCGCAAGTCTTTGTCCTAGTTCGGGTTTACATTCTGAATCCATTCTTTTGAATGGTCCAGCATTTTGACCATCAGATGGCCCTGACATGACCCAATCTTCGGTTCATTATGAGGGCGTGAGTATTCTAGTTTTACTGTAAAGGGGACCTTTGATCATATAATAAACAGGGGGTGTCACTTTTTGGAAAATAGGGTCACCCTAAATAAGGTTTATCCATGTTTATCCCAGATTCTAAGACAGGAGTTTAATAAGGAAATGAAAGGAATCTTTATTAACATGAAAAGTGAATGAGCATTTAATTGAATTGGAATTAAATTAGAATGTCTAACTTTAATTAGGGGGCTTTATTAACCAGGGCGAGAAGTTGTGTATATAACTCTATTTGGGGGGTTATTAATCATAGGTCAACGTTAAGTCTTTTTTGGGGCCTGCTGTTCGACTTGGAGAGACAGCAAAATCTATGTGCTGACAATTTTCGGCATGATCGCGGCCAATTTTCAATGTGGCCAAAGCTTCAGCCACCGCACGAGGTTTCTTCACTTTAGCAGCGCAACAACCATCAATCAATTGAACTGACTGAGAGTCGTAGTGAAGCATTAATTAGGTTTTGAGTAGAGACCCAGCATTACAAAAGTCAGGTCGGTTCAGAGATTGTGCCTACTTGGGCCCCGGAGTAATCTGGCATGCTTTGGGAGATTTCCTTCTCCTGAAGAGAGTTGTCCTTGACACTCAGTGGACTTGCCTTTTTGCAACAATACACCTGCTAGATCCAAAATTGATTTGAGACACCTATCACCTCCCTCAGGACGCGCAAGAACGCACGGGACAAAAGAGAGGCGTGCCTTATGATGTGTGGGGGGAAGAAGGGCACCCAAAAATGTTAAAAACGTTACATCAAAGAAGTTTTCTAAACTCACAGAAGCCACAGAGCTGTTCAGCGCGGAGTTTCACCCAAACGTGGCAATCAGGCTTTGTGCACGCAAGCGCCGTTGTCGTTTTGACTTTTGCCAGTGTGAAGTGACAAGAGGGAAACTAGTTTTGGATGGAAAATCGCGGGAAAATCTGGAGACAATTTTTGGAATACAGTTCTTCTTTCTGGTGTTCTTATCCTTTTGGACTGTGTGTGCTTATCCTAAATTGAAGCAACATCAGAAACTACGATAGGGAAAGACTGACTCCGTTCCCGCAAACAAAAATTGGCTCCGGTTTTGGGCAATAAATTGGTTCGGTTTTTGAGGAACATCAGCTACGGATTTTTGGGGAAATCCGTCACCGATTTTGGGGAAACCCGTCAGGGATTTTGAGGAAATCTGTCACAGATTTTTGGGAAATCCATCACCGATTTTGGGAAATCCGTCACCGACTTTGGGGAAATCCGTCACCGACTTTGGGGAAATCTGTCACCGACTTTGGGGAAATCTGTCACTGGCTTTGGGGAAACCAGCCGCCGACTTCAGGAGGCTCCGTCTTCAGGAATAAAAATCGTTTTTGGGAAAAACTTTTGGGAAACACCGCGCCCGGTTTGCGGAGCAATGAGGCCTTTGGTGATGGAGCCCTGTAGCGGCTTCTACTGGGATCCTGTGCTGGTCCTAGACTTCAAAGGCGCGCGCGGACTGGCGTGGATGGGAGACGGAGATAGGAGATCGGACGTGTGTTAATTGGAGTTTATATTGGCTTGTTTGGGAACGGTTTTTCTTTGTTTGGGGGGGCGAATTTCCGGGTACTGAGTCTTTAAGATGTTTATGGGGAACAATTGAAAAGCATGTTCACATCTACTTCTGCCTTGATTTGTTGCATTTGGCTTTGCCGCTGCCACTCATCATGGTATATAGGAGGATGAAGTCTCAATTGCTAACCGAGAAAGATGGAGAAACACAGCAACGCAAAAGACAAACACTTGGCACGTCTCGGAAAGGCGGGTTCTTGCGGAACGCGGAACGCAGGTATGTATCCATCCTTGATCGTGCGAGCCTATGCGAGCCTCAGGACTTGCGGATCCATGTCATGTGGCATCTGCGGCAAGAGGATGCAATACAGCAGGACATTCCCTCTAAAGACTAGATATCTCTAGATCATTGGGTAAGACCATGAGAACGACATGGCTGCTGCCGCATGCCATCGGAGGATGCGGAGGTTCGCATACGCCCTGCCTAGGAGAGGGGGACCCAACCGCTCAGGTGGCCCACAACTTGTCCTTTGACACCTGCTTGGGCCATTCAAGGTGGGATGTAAGGGCCTGTAAGGGTATGAATAAACATGTCAGTATGGATATATATTAGGCATGAAAGCTGGGGAAGCGGAAGGAGTGTAGAATCGTTAAAGACCAACCGCTTGCCGTCCCCAAGTGTCCCCCAAAGCTGGCTTCAGCTACGTGGCAGGCGCACAGGGGAAGGGCCCAGCTGTCAGATGGGCGCCACACAGCAGCAAGTGATTTGGCCGATCGACGCTCCTGCCTGGCCATTTGCCTCGGGTCTTGGGAAGATATATTGTGCATGTCAATGACCATGGTTTTCGCCGTGGCTTGTTTTCTAAATGTGTCTTCAAGGGTGTTTTTCTAATGGCCCAATCGCCTGTGAAGCATCCACCTAAACACAAGACGGGAGTCTTGATTCTTGAATTGCTTGGAACAACACTCATGAGCCACCTTACTGTACCTTACCATGAAACAACACCATTTATTCTCACATCAACCTGCGCGAATGGAATCCGGACATCAACCTGACTCGGGGCTAGCTGTTGTCGAACGTGCCAAACAAGGTCCATTTATAGGCTTTTTGTTTGATAATATGTCCTCCGACATTATTATAAAGGAGAATGTATTATTAATGTATAACAAATGAGCACGAAAAGCAATCAACGCATCGTGTTGGAGGACGTGTTATTATAAAATACCATCAAGAAGGACATATGATAAGAAAGAGCACGTATTATCATGTATGATCATAATATCGTGTTGGAGGACATGTTATCATGAAGAAGGCCTTGAAAACGCCTCACGCGCAGCGCCCAGCGGAGCGAACGATTCACCAGTGAGGTGCTCAACGGACCTTGGGTCCTCAACGGCTCAAGCCTTGCAGCTGGGGAGACCCAACGTACGAACGAGACTCCGCCGGTCTCCGGGCGGAGTGGACGGCGAAAGGGTGACTGGCGAGGAGAGATTCTGAGTGATGTTATAGGGGGCTATTTTTTTGGGGAGGGCGGAAAGCCGCCGGGGTTTGTATCACATTATACGCCCACAGATTACGTTTTTACTAAAAAGAGAAGATGAAAGAGGATGAAAGTAATAAGATGAAAGAGGTTGAAAAGTCAATTCCACAATTGTTTATTCAAACTCAAAAGGGGATGAATGTGGTGGTGGAATTGACTTGGCCAATTCCATGCTTGGGGACGCCAATGCGTAGCGCTAAGCAAGCGCGCAAGCGGACAGGCTGACCGCCCAATGGCCCCGGCGAGTTGCACAGCGGGCCCCCCATGATGTGCCATGAAGAGGTTTGTCAATGCACATGGTTTTTGTTTCAAAATACTGCAATACTGAGTACTACTGTAGTCTAAGTTAATCAAGTGTTGGAGGGTGGGACTGGGACCTTATATAGATTGTTCTTGTCCACTGCGATCTCGGCGACGTGACACATGCTGCCACTAGCACGTTGGAGTGTCCACCACATCCTTCGGGCTAACGATTCATGTTTTCCATCTCTCATGTTGGCCTTTTGGTGGTGGTTGAGGCTATGTGGCCTCCACAAGGCTTCACTGAATCTACATTTTGTTCTATGTTGATGCATGTTGATGCAATGTTCATGCTTGGAAAGGGACAAGTGGCAACCCGCATTCAGTTGTGCTCAGCTAATCATGTGGCGTTTGTTTAGCCTGGCATGGGGAAGGAGGCCCTTTTCCAACCCGGGGGGTTGCTTTGTCGTCGGGCAACGGTTCGCGCAAATCCGCTGGGACCCTCCAACGCTTAGCACACTTTGACAATGGGTTTTCTGTTAGCTCAGTTCCACGAGAAATGGCGAGGGAACGGAAAGGCGAGAAGGTCAGCTCACTTGAAGTGTTGAAAACTTTGTTTGTGCACATCTGCGGTAAGTCAGGCGGCTCACGAGCGGCAGAACGCTGCGGAGGGAAACCTGTTTAGGGAAATAACGTGAAGAACCACCATGAAAACAAGGAACAGCGGGGAACAGTAGAGTGTTGTCACTTGCAGGTACACAGGGCTGATCAGGCCCTGCTTCCCACTCTCGCCCACAGCTTCATTGCGTGTGGTAGGGCGAGTGCCACACGCCTCTGCAGACTGAAAGTGTTGAAGCTCCTAGAAACGGAGGGTGACACACACAGGAAGCCGAGAATCGGCGCGCGAGCGCGAGTGCAGTCGAAGGCGTATCTTGAGGTCATGATGCCGGTCTAAGAGCCATTCGCGGAGAATTCGAAAGCATGTCTGAGCTGTGGCAATTCGCCGTTTGACCGTACCAGACTTCCAGGCACGGTAGCTGATGACTGTACTAAATACGACGCCTTTCCCACAAGCGGCACGGTCAGGTTTGCATCAAGCAAAAGCAGGATGGGGCCTGTTTTAGACCAACTGGTCCATCGTCTGAGACCGAATTCAGCGATTTGCAACCAACCTCATGAGGGCCACACTCTTTTGGTGGAACTGCTGCTGGTCGTTGATGAGCTGGTGCTTTCCAAGCGTTGCGAACCCGACGCATGGATGGAAGGTTGGGGTCAACTGCGGGTGGAGGAGTAGGGTTAGGAAGTGGACGGATCGCGGTGGGTCGCCGGTGCGTTCGTTGTGAGAGTGCCGAGATGCATGTGTGTTGTGATGGCCAGAGTGGCGCCGATGGTGGTGTGAGCGGTGGTGGTGACGGCCGCGGCGTGTGTGGCGCCTGTGCTGACGGCGACGATGGCGGGAGCGTTTGGGTGCTGAAGGGGCACCCCCGGTCGCGGGTGTATCTTTGTTGACGGTGGTGGTCGGCTGTTGTGGTGGAGGAGGAGGTGGTGGAGGTTGAGGTGTAGTGGATGACATGGTGTAGGTTGCGGTGGACAAGGCTGTGGAGTGGGCATCGTCATTGGTGGCTGTTGTTGTGGTGCATAAGGGTATGGCCACGGAAAGTGCATGCTGCTGAGGTGAATCAACTCGCCGTTGTTGTCAGCGGCAGCGCGGTGGCAGCGGCAGCGCGATGGATCAGCGCGTTGCAAAAAAACTCGAACAGTGGAATCCGGATGGCTTAAATCGATTAAAAAGTTCACATTGCAAAGTGAGAGTGGAAGTACTCCGAACAAAATTTGAAATGGAACATGCACTGAAAGTCCCCTGAATCATGCAAGTGAGGTTGTCAATCCAATCCAACATGTAGTAGTGCGTGAAAAAGTCAGCTGCAACCTAGTTGAACCTTGAAAGCGCTGGAAAGAAACTCCGTAAACCCGGCGGTGTCGAGTCTCCGTAAACGCGGCAGTGTTGTGGCAGTAGATTCATGGGGGAAACACTTAATCTAAGAGTGAGAATCCAACGCGTGCAGAAAAAAGGTAAATCGAACTGTGATCCACGATGGTTTCAGCGCTCCCTTGCGGGAGATCACACCCTGCACCCAAGTGGCGCACACTTTGACAATGGGTTTTCTGTTAGCTCAGTTCCACGAGAAAAATGGTGAGGGAACGGAAAGGCGAGAAGGTCAGCTCACTTGAAGTGTTGAAAACTCTGTTTGTGCACATCTGCAGTAAGTCAGGCGGCTCACGAGCGGCAGAGCGCTGCGGAGGGAAACCTGTTTAGGGAAATAACGTGAAGAACCACCATGAAAACAAAAAACAGCGGGGAACAGTAGAGTGTTGTCACTTGCAGGTACACAGGGCTGATCAGGCCCTGCTTCCCACTCTCGCCCACAGCTTCGTTGCGTGTGGTAGGGCAAGAGTGCCACACGCCCCTGCAGACTGAAAGTGCTGAAACTCCTAGAAACGGAAGGTGACACACACACACACACACACTAGCAGCACTCTCCAACAGGTCTAAGAAGTGGCAAGTCCCCACCTGTTGGAGGGTACTGATAGTGGACAACTCTTACCTCAGTTGGTGAGGATGTCCTTTTCTTCACTGTATTTCGTTCACACCTGCGATCTGAGTTGCGGTGCCTCGTCCAAGCGTCCGGCAAACTGAGGATTTGTTCGATAGACGGGGACTCAGCTGTTGCAAGGGTCGAAGAAAACAAAACATCTCCAGGCCAAAGTTCACTAAGAAGAATCAGAAGCTGCCACTAGTCGCGTGTCCTTCATGGACTTGTTTGTTTGCAGAGTTTTTAGTGATGAGATTGACATCCCATGATTGCCAGTTGAGGCAATCTTGGGCCTTCATTGAAAGATTTCGAGAAAAGAGTTGCATTTGGGCGCCACAGGCTACCCCAGTCAGTTCAGCAGTGTAGGGTTCCATGATCCATGTCACGAAAGGTAACTTGAGCTACCTGAGTTCTCCTTGCTTTAGCAAAAATGTATTACAATCAGGAGTTGGGATTGTGCATTGAGTTTGGTCCTGTAAGAGATGATTCTGTTCGTCGGGGGGGGCCCCCCTGGATCAAATCCCCCCTGCGCCGGTTCACGCCGTCATGGACTTCTACCAGGGTTACTTGTGATTGCCTCCTACCTTTCGTTCACCCCCTCCTCTCTCAAGTGTATCAGGGAGTACCTCAGTTCAAGAAGGGTATGGCTCCACTGCACTTGTCCGTAATGTTTGATTGTAGTATTAAGATGTATTTGTAACCTTGTTCGACTGTTCGGCACCGTTTAGCGGCTTTTCCTCCCCACCAACCTGCCACCCACCCCAAGGCCCTCGATGGCCCTCGATGGCCCCGAACAGCGCCGAGGTGAAGATCCAGCCGATGCTCCAGCCGATGCTCCAGCCGATCGCAGTCGTAGAGTCGTTGCACCGGGGGGGCGGCCCATCGGGGGCGGTGAACGACTGAAACCAGTACTGGGCTGAGCATCGGTTCGGGGCATCGTGGTCCAGAGAAACATTGATTCAAAACCACCAAGATCCACTAAGGAGCACCCCTATTGTTGAAGTCACTTGATGCTCTTGGCAACTCGAGAAGCTGCCGTAGGGCCTAGGGAGGCACTGCCCTTGCTGAGGTGTTGGGCATGTGAGGGGGGGTTCTTGCATCTTTGGCTTCGATGAGGTACGTTTGGCGGCGAGCGGAGCTTTGTTTGCAAGCTGGAAGCTTGGTTTCTCCGAGCTTCATGACATAGCGGCCAACAAAAACAAACTCCTCACCCAGCAAAGGGAATTGAAAGAGATTGCCAGAGTGACAAGCTGTTGTGGGGGACCTTCTCACCAAAAGACATGGAGGCACGCCGGTCAGCACTCGCTTCAACTACAGGGGCACGGTGCATATAATATTTTTTTTTTCATATGGAAGTGGAGAATGGTCCCCTGGAAGACTACTTTCCACTTCCATGTTAGTTGAGTCAGGGTGTACTTGTTTTAAAACAGAATCCCTCTGGTCATGTTGGACTGCGCTTTCGTGGCCTGGCCAGCACCTGCCTGGCCTGCCAGGCCCGCAGGTCCGCACAGGCCTCCTGCCGCTGATGCTCGACGAGGCGGTCCGTTCATGTTGACGTTGATGGGGCAGCCAGTCACATAGCTGGAAATTCTAACAAGTATACCGACATCCCTCAAACAGATTCCAGCCCCCAAGTCTGAACTAAGCTGAAGCCATACCAGACATCCAATATTGACCCGCACCTGAAATACGATATATATATATATACTGTATATATATATATATGATCATTTGAATTTAAATTTGTATCAACCGTGGCAGGTCCTCAAACTCCGCGCTGAGACCAAGCGCCAAGCCAAGCAGAGCAGCCCTGCTGTGGTCCGGATGCGTGGGCGAGCTCGCGGCGAGCGTGGAGTGGTGCTGGAGCAGTACCTAGCTTCCATGACTTGTAGGTGGCTTTAGGGGTACAATATGACATCATGGATTTGTGGGGGCCCCATGCCGAAAAGGTCCATGTTCAGTGGGAGTGGAAGCGAAGCAGACAGTTCTTGCTCCCAGTCGTGTTATGTGTTGTTCGGTTCCGTCATTGTTTTTCAGAGTGATCGAATCAGCTTGTTGTTCTTTAACATTTTCCCAGGCCTTCTTGTCCACCCAATGTCCGAGATTGAAAGACTGCTGCTGGACACCAACCCTCTTTGGCCAATTCAGCTTTTTGTTTTTAGCTTTCTCTCGTGCCGGGCTTTCTCCCGCTGAGGCCAAGCGCCTGGAACATAAGCAGTTTGCTCTGAAGTACTTTGCCAATGTGCTTGGGAAACCCAGCGAGAAAGACCAACGAGAAGAGGACCTGCTGCCGAGAGCAGATGTTTCCTCAGACTCAGACTGACGTGGTTCCTCATGTTCAAGCTATAAAGACCGGTGCTTTCAGGTTCCATGTCCGTTTTCCAGGGAGCTATATGCACTGGCACGTGACTCAAGTGACTCAAGTGGATTCCTTAGGCAGCTCTGAGCAGATGATTTGTTGGTTGGGGGGTGGCTTCCCTACCAAACGCGGAGGGCGGAGGGAGTTTCTTGGTGAATATCTCCTGCAATGATCTGTAATCCAGGGGCGGGGAGCAAGGGCCCTGTTGTGAATCTTTTGCAGTGGCTCAGGGGTAGACGAAACTTCCAAAGAATTCTAGTAAACATGCATGAGTACATTTGTGGCGCATTGCTACGCAAAGATGCCTGAGATAGATGTTCTACCTACTTGTACCACGTTCTACCAATAATGGGCAAGTCGGGCAGGCCCTGCAACCAGAGCCGTTGTGACCTAGTCATTACGTTGACATGAGTGTCGGTGACCTCTACCTTTCCATTACTTCTGGCACATCTTGTCCTGAACAGCCCCACTGGGTGTGGTCTTCGAACCATCGGCCTCCAGTCGACGCCCGGATCAAAGCTGATCTGAATGCGTCAAGATGATGAACGCCCTAACCACCCCCAACCTCCCCTGGCAGGGGGGGCCTGAAGACGGGGGGGTCCTTGGATACGGCCATGAAAAGGCCGATCTGAATGCGTCAAGAACCCGGGCTCAAGGATTCAACATCAACCAATCGCGACCGATCATGACCATCCCGACCCACCCTTCAAGTCGAGTCTGAAGCATTGGAAGGCGGAGCGAGGACCAAGGCCGGAAAGGGCCTGACCACTGAGAGGAAGATTAGGGGTTCTACAAGCAGTGGTTTTGAGATGCCAGGTGGGGGTTTGTAGCTGGCTTCTTTACACATCACATCCTCCCTCAATCGCTCAAATCAAGCTATACGTAGTCATCATTACTCTCGCCGCAGGCTGCGGGAGCTAGATGCAGTGGCCCAGTCATATTGCAGTGAAGGCTGCGGGCGCGGTCGACATCAATGGGGTCTTCACCAGGCAATTGGACATCTCCTATGAGGACTTGCCAGTCTATGGCAATCTGAAGGCTGGGCTAGCAAGAAGCTCTGCAGGCTTGTTAATTCATGCGAATTCCAGCTGGGTCTCTAGAAGGGGAGTTGCTCTCGAAGCTTCCTTTTGGCGTGAGGAGTTTAGCCTGTCGGCGTGCCGCTCTCCTGATGAAACTGGACAGCTCCAGTGGGGCTGGATCATTGGTCGAGATGGTGTTCCAGCCTATGGTTGCGTCGCCGAGCGGAAGGAGAGCATCCCGATGAGTGGATGGCAATGCTTTCAAGGTCCACCCCCTGCTCCCACCTTACACCTCCTCAGCGCCTCCGAGTTGCCCCAGTTTTCCCTGGAGGAAGCACGACAAAGAGCCTTCGCTGGGGATCTGCACTTGGCGGTGAAGGCTTTCCGAGACCTGGACGTTGCATTAGAGGCTTCCAAGATACAGGATGTGTGTATATAAATATATACATATATGTGTGTGTACTGTATATATATACATATATTTGTTGCAATGATTTGTATATCTATAGGTGTAGATATTTTTCTTAGGTACTACTGTATAGACATATGCGTATATAACTATATATATATATGCAGAGGTGTCTAAACACACTTGTATCTATATATATAACAGATATATACACACATATATATAGTTACACGTGCAACATGTATGTGTATATATATATATGTATTAGGTCTATCAGTTTGTCAGATGGTTTATCCAAGTGCCAAGGGGTCCAGTAATTGGTACAACCTCATCACTATTGTTGGGTAAGGTTCCCTTGTCAGCCCGACCCCGCTCCAACAAGCAAAAACTAAAAAACAAAACAAAAAAAACATATATATATATATATAACGTCAATCCTGGTTCACAAAAAACAAAAACTTACACAAGTCTGGATTTCTTCAGCCATTGAGAGCCGTGGGCACCGGATCCAAAAAATGCCCTGCCCCACTCCCAGGAGAAGTCTTTCACTACAAGTCCATGCTCTTTGCGTCTGGGAGGGGCTGTGCCAGGCTCCATGTGGAGTTGGCTCAGCTCTTATGCAGGTGCCAGCAGAAGGATGCAGCTCTGACACACGGCGTGCTACGTACGAGATCGTACAAAGAAACACTTGATTTTTTATGGGAAGCAGTCTGAAGATCACAAGGGGCCGTTGATAAAGAGGGTCGAAGAGGGTTCCTCTCAGGGTCTTGCTTGATATCTCTCTCACTATGCTATACCAGCGGTATAGATTTCCTCGATGGTTTCTTTGTTGATCTTTGTTGGTTCTTCCTAACGTGTTGGTTCTTCCACGTATGAGGATTGTTTGGGAGATGCTGCCGGTCACTTCTTGTCCTCCCAGTGAGAGAATCTTGTTGGGACCAAAGTTGCATTTTGATAACATTGAAGAAGTGATGAAGTTCAGAAGCTCCAAGCATCTTGAAGCCAAGGGCTGAAGTAAAGGAGGCCCTCAACTTGTGGCCCAGCTTACCTGAAGCACTTCTGTTGAAAGCGCAGCTTTACGAAGAGACAGATGATGGCCCGGCCGCCTTACTGGCAAAGCAGTGCTGGCTGATGCTCCCCGAAGGGCAGAAGAAGCTGCGGAAGGAGTGTCAGGAGCCGATCAGTTGTGACAGCATGTCAGCCCCGTCCACCCTGGACAAGATCTCACCCTCTTCCCGATAACCCATCCCAGACACTCCACGTATGGTATATACATATTAATATATGTATATATGCCTACATTGACCCCCAAAACCACTCCCATGTATGCAAATATGCCATGCATGGAGTGTGTGGGCACGGCAAATCCCAATGCAAGCTTCGTTCGTTTTCCTCTACTGTGAATTCGGTCGGAGGCAGTCCAAGGTGGTCAAAGGTTGTTCCAGATGAGGGTTCGAGCATTTTCACAAGTCTTGTTGGTGACACTAGCGCTAGCGCTGAAGCATCAGAGGGTACACCATCGTCTTCATTGATGGTCATTCTCTTGCCGATGGTGGTGGAATGGGCAAAAAAGTATTCTCTCGCTTTCGTTCCCGCTTCTCAAGCAGCCATTTCTTCAGCCAAGCTAAACGAAAGTCGTGTCATTGGACATGAAACAAGGACAAGCAGACAAGGACGCTGTTTCCATTAAGGGATCAGTGATGATCAGTGCCTCAAGTCCAGCGACGAGCAACCGTGATGGGTGGAGCATGCAACAAGCCATGGGACCGGCATTTGGGGGCCCACGAGGGCACCGAGACCCTCGAGAGGTAGAAACATCTCGTGAACATGGTGGGTTCTATCGCCCGGCGATAGGGCGATAGATGCCATCCAGTGTGCACTACTCTCTCTCCCACACAAAGACACACAGATATATATATATATATATTTACACAGTATATATATATATAGACATACACATATATAGATATACATATATCGCACCCACCAACCCACCCAACAAGCATGCATATAACTAGATATAGAAGCACCCAGACTGCAGAACTTCACTTCGTTAACTTCAGTGCTTTGACATGGCAGAGGGCGTGAAGCCGCCGGTTTTACAGGGCACCCGCTGGAATCGTGCTAGGCAAGCCTCAGCCGATGAAGCACAGGAAAGTGATGGCGGTGCAGATCCAGAGGCTACCAGCCTGGCTGACTGCTGGAATCGTGTGCGAGACAAGGACAGGCTATGTGTTTTTTTGTTTGTTTGTTTCTGGGCCACCATTGGACTGACTCGTGTTACATCCACGGCTATTCATAGCACGGTTGCACGATCCATGGCCGGCGTTCCAGGAGCGGGTGGAAGCAGAGCTGGGCCTGCGAGAGTCGGGTGGCACCGAACAGCTCTTCGACGCCTCGGAGCCACAGAGGCTCATCGCTGAGGGATACCAGCGCGTGGTCTTTGGCGACCATGGACCCTATGTGGAATGCGACCCTTCGCAGGTGGTTTGGGAGAACCTCCCAGAGGTGCTCTTGAAACCAGGTCATGCCTACTACGACGAGTACTACACGAAGAAGGGCTTCTTAAGATTGTATATGCAGAAACGATCGGTGGAGCACAAGCAGAATCCGCCACGGGGTGGGGTGCGTCATGATCGCGAAGGTGGCTACGCAGACTACAAGGTGGGCATGTGTTACATCTCGCCGGACAATCTCACCGTTGCCCAGTTGCCGGCTCAGACTCGTTCTGTTGGGCAGCATAGACGCTGGAAGCGATGAGAAAAGAACGCGGATTTGTTGCATGGAAAGATATGGAAAACATTGATTTGAGCCGGGTTGGTGCCCCATTTGCTGAACACAGGGGAACAAGATGTCGAAGCTGGTTAGACCGGGTCGGTGGAGCATGGTCATCGAATAATCGGCAAGTTTATAGATAGATAGATATATATATATATATACAGTGTTACAGTTTCAGGTTGACAACCCTTGGTCAAGAGGACCATCGCCAATCTACGGAGCGAGTTTGGACGCGCACATTATTACATATAGTGGCATTGTAGTATATATGTATATCATATGCAGATATATGCAGTAACTTAGTATACAGTATACCTTATTTTAGCTTCTCCAGGAGCTGCTGGAGAATTTGGGAGAGGCCCTGGATGCTTCTTTACCTTGCTGCCTGGCACCCTGCTACCTGGAGGGGGTTGACGACGAGGCTTCGGAGGAAGGGCTTGACGAGGCTTCGGCTTCGCATGTGGAGAGTTTGGAGGTGAAGGGGTCATCCCTCAAGGAGGTCAATGGAGTCTATGAGCCTTGCAGAGATCAGATCCCTGGGCTTTACCAAGTGTTTTACTGCCAGGACCTTCCAACAGGTCACCACCTGCGACTTTTAAGTCTACAAAAGCCTTCAGAGGAGACCTGTTGGAAGGTGCTGGTATATGTTTTTCGGTTTGATGCCCGAGCTGATGTCCTTTTTCTTTCTTTCCCAGCTGAAAGCGTCCATTTCCATCATGTTCCAGCGGACAATTCGTGGTGCCCCTAGGATCTCCAACCACTGTCCAAGCTTTGTCAATGGCCATGGCTTCCGGCTCTCTCTGGAGGTTTTGCCGGCCCCAAATGGGGAGGCCACAAGAGGCTGGGTCATTGGAAAAGATGCCGCGGGCTATTTCGGTACCAAAGACTTGGACGATGAGCGGCGGTTCCCCTTGGAAGATGGCAAATGGTCATGCTTTGCAGCAGCTAGAGGAGCAACCGCTCCAACCTCTTCAGTTGCAAATGTTGCAAAGGTGGATTCGGCCATTGAAAAGGGATGCTCGCTTTCCTTTGTACCTCCGTACCTTGTGGCTTTCCCTTTGTCACAACAGGGGGGACCGTCGACCACTGGAGCCCGAACAGAATATAAAAGAACAATAGTTGATATGTAAAGATTATCAGATAGGTGAGCCTAGCAGAGTTTGGAGCTCCAGGTTTTGACCCACTGCGGACTATGTTTTTTGAGCTATGGGACTGGTCCACAGGTTTATGCGTTTCACTTGGGGGTGACTTAGGATACCAAGCGCGGCTGGAGGGGCGAGGCGAAGAAGCAGTCGCACTCTTCCGAAGCTGCTTGAAGATGTCGAGGATCAGACGCGACCTGCGTGTCCTGGCTGGCTGGCTGCGTGTCCTTGGTCAAAGAAGCAAAAGGATGAAGATGGATTCCAGCAACACCCCAAAATGTTGGTTTAGTTCCCTAACCTGACAAATCAGCATGGTGGCGCATACACCCAGCAGAACTATGGGCAACGATGGGCAGGGGTGGTATATTATATCAGAATCATTTTGAGGGATAATCCGGGGCAGGGTCATAAACGATTGCTTCTGAGTGTCCAGCCACTAATATATCTACATATGGAATAATAGCTATAGTATGTCTTACAAATTGGTCCTAGATTCTTATAATGGTGTTCTTAAAATAGTATGTCCTAGATTCTTATGGCATATGCAACAGTATGTCTTATAATGGTGTTCTCGTGTTCCGTCCTGGATGACTTTCTTTGCCCTTCCAACTCGCCGTACACTGCTGGGATCGCTGATCGAAGGCCGAGGCCGCCTTTCGGTCGCCCACCGGCCAACATAGGTCGAGTGGCCCTCGTTTATACTGAACTGGCCGGCTCCTTCCGAGAGATGGATCGTTTGGAGGAAGCCCAAGAGGCGGTGCGGAGGGCCCTGGAGATTTGGCCTGGACATTGGGAGGCCTATTTAGCAGCTTGGCCAGAAGTATTGACTCAGCTGCATGGAGTCGTGTAAGAAAAAGGCACTGAAGATGAGCCGTCCTCCCTGACAAACGTTGGCAGGATGGGCCTGTGAATACACGACCTACAACCCTTTCCCCTTAGAATCCCACAGAGGATCACAGTGGAATTCCGACTGTTGGACATATCTTGGGGGGGGTGCGAAGACCAAGCACCCAGTCTGGCCCAGGCTGATGCTGGCTTAGCCTCTCTTGGGCCAGTTGCTTCTGTTCCATTTGAGGCATCCCCTGACCGGAGGTCCACCCAGGTGTTCCACCGGCCTCTCGGTGTGCCACCCTCTTCTCTTCGGAACGGCACATGTTTTGGAGATTTGAGCGATACATTCTGAAAACAAGTCCACTAGAGGAGAGGGAAACCCTTTGGGAAGGGATTGCATTGATTGCATTGGTATGTGAAGAGCATTGGTATGTGAAGAGCATTGGTATGTGAAGATCTCCCGTCTGCGTGAATTTAACCCATCAGGCCTGCCTTTGGCAGAGATCGACCTGTCGACAATATACATCAACATATGCCGATGATTCACGTGCTTCTACAGAATGGTGTGAACTCCAATGAGACCAACCCCCAATCCCTCACTCTCACGCTCGAGGAGGCGGCCTCCATTTGGTCCAAGCTGCATCGGGCGCGAGAGGCTTCCGTCCAGCTCCGGCAGCTCCTGGTGGCACGGGATGCGGCTGACGGCCGGGCGCAGCTGGCGCTACTGGCACAGCTGGAGCGGGTGGATGCGCCTGGCATGTTGGAGCTGAAGGGTTGGATGCAAAACCATGGACACTCGGAGCCCTTGAGCCAGTCATTCAATTTTCTTGATTGCATGTCCACCACGGTTCAAAGAAGTAAGCTAGAGCCAGAGTATGCCAAAGTAAGGTGAAATGACATAACCACATGCAAAGCCTTTGTGAGCGCAGCTGAGGAGAATTGCCTGTGATTGCAGACTACTTGGCCCGTGATCGCTCCCAAACATCTCAAGCCAACAACGGAAACGCGCAGGGCGTCGCTTGATCCATGTGAGCAGTGGGCAAGTTCGGGCAATTCTGCAGCAAAATTCTACGTCATAAAGGATCAAACGAATTCAAAAGAACTGTCATGTACTGTATATAGGTGTATGTGCGTGCATCTGTGTACAGGCTATGCAGTAACTGCTGTGCAGTAATGAGCCCATCCGCAAGTAGAAAGCCTTGGAAAAAAAGGTACACCAGATCTTTCGGGCCGCCGTATTTGACGCGTCAGCGCGCCAGTCGTGGCAGCACAGAGACGGACCGAGGAGAGCGGACCGGAAGCTGATTTTGTGCTGGAGGATCAGCCGACGGAGGTTTTTGCCCACTGGACCCTAGCTGTGGCATGTCAAGCACGTGATGTGGACATCAGATTCCAGGAGCTCCTATCCGGGAAGGATCCTGTCTGTCGGACCTCTCAACATCAGTGATGTGAAGCAAGACGCCCCAAGCAACTTCAAGCCTAGAGGCACGCTTAGGAGCCTCTAAGCTTGAACTTGATGTGGATTTGTGGGGCTTTGCTGGATGGGGAGGAAGGGAAAGGGGTGGGTTGCCCCCTCCTTTACCCTGCTTTCATCTCAGTACATACCCATGAGTGGCAACAGTGACCAACACATACCGAAACTGATGATCGGACAAGACCAGCGTGGGCTGCTCTCGTTCATTCCCTCTTCCTGTTGTTTTTGTGACGGTCTGGCGTGTCCAGGACCAGTGGCTGTTGGTGCGTGTCCAGGACCAAACACTCTTCGAAGGCGCCATGACCCGCCCGCCACCCGCCGTTGAAATCGAAGTTGCAAAGCTGGAACTTGGAAGTGGATCACTTCTGGGCCTTGGAAGCGGCAAGACATTAAAGCCCTGTAAGAACATCTAAAACATTCTAAAACGGATTCTGACCAAACTTGGGACATATTCGATTTCGTGTCCAAACATGTGGTTCTTTGTGGTTCTCGCACATGTTCTTCAACCCCTTTCTTGTCCAGTGTCCAGTCCTAGCCAGCCAGGTGAGTTGATGCACAAGATCCAACCCAAGTCCTCTGGCTGGACCTTTTCGTCTCCGGAGCTCACGGTATGTTTGGCCAAGGCTCCTCACAAAAATGGGTGGCCGAAATGGGAGGTGCTCCACAAAGAGGACCGAGTTATGACCCTATGACGGCAAATTGCCCTGAGGTTGAACAGCTTACGCATGTTTCCTGACTGGTGCGTGACCAGGTCTTGTGTGTGATTGACTTGCAGCAGTGTCTCGATAGAGAAAACTGAAGCCAACTGAAGCCAACCATTGAATGGGATCAAAATGGATCAAGGAATATAATCCCCATCGCCCAGATCCTCTGTATAAATTTCCTTGGTGACTAGCCTTGATATGCCTTGTGTTTTTTCCTGCAGGGTGGCCGTGGTGAGCAGAAGGCTCCTGATGCAGGATATTATGTATATCCGGTGTGTATGTGTGTATATATTGTATATGTACAGTGTACACACACACACACTAAAATGTATCTTATCTACACAACTTGTGCTATGCGCCTCTTTAACTGCTTGCAGGACCAGGCAAGCAGATTACATCGGCTACAAGCTTTACCTTTCGACCAAAAGGCCGTTCGCTGGATGTAGCAATGCCTCAACAACCCCACAGTGACGGATCAACTCCAGTGACGGCTGCTGGCGGCTCCTGGATCCCGGAGATGTTGCGAAAGTCGAGGCTGTTGGCTCTTGGGATATATGGATATTGCATTTGCAACATGGAGCTAGCAGCTAGGTCCCATCTCATTGAAACTATTCCTCAAGCGCGCGGAACGACAGCACGTGGCCATGACTGGTAGCGTCGCACAAGTGTCGCTGAGCGAAAAGAGTCCGAACATGTTGCCATAGACACGAAGCAGGACCAAAAACATGGGGCAACGGGCAAGTTGGGCAGCTGCAGTTGGGTTAGGCTTTGTTGACCCTTGTTGGGAGTGAATCCATGCTGCACATCGAGGGAAGTAACGAAGTGCTTGTTTTGGGTTTGCACGCTGACACTGAGGACCTACGGCTACTCCTCGGCATCCTTTAGCGGCCGCATGTGCGGTTTCCGAATATGTCACGGAGAGCTAGGCGTTGAGCAATTTCCAACTGAGAGTTGTGTATTTTTTGTTACTGAGGCCCTGCCCTTGCAGTTCTGTAAGAGATATCAAGAGATCACCACATCGATATGTCATGTCTCTTTGCGGTCGCCTGGGTTTCGGTTTCGGTTGAGAGATATTGCCTGGAAGGTTGGTGTTTTAGTTGGAAGATGCAGCAGAATAGCAAGATGGGATGTCAAACAAAAAGGAAGATCCCAGAAGTCCAGTTCGACGATTTTTTTTGGACCACCGAAGACCGAAGTGTTCAGGAAGTTCATGGAAATTCCAAGTTCCCCGGGTCACTGAAAGACGACTTGAGCATTTGGACTCAAATCGTCGACTGGACTCAGAGCGGGCGGGATGTGACTCCCGTTCTGCGGGATGTTCGATGCCAAGACTCTAGACTTCAAACCTGCGGATGTTCTACGTACGGATGTTTCGTATGCGCGTGGTTTTTGCCTTTGTGGTGGGTTTGGTAGAAGCTGCATTTGGGGGTTTGGTTCTGGGCCATTGGTGAAGCCACATGCCAGGTGTGGAAGATTTTGATAACTCGGCTAATAAAGAAGGAGCCTAATTCCGGTGCGTCCATCACGTCCCTTATATTTTTGATTCTGTGATCAGTCCAGCAACCCTAAACTCTATCCTCGAGCATGTATAGAAAGATTGGTTTTCCAATGCAACGACTATATATCCAGTATATACATTGTTACATGCTATAGACTTCTGATTGTTGAGACCTCGCTTATTGCTGCCCTCCTCCACTGAAAAAGAGGCCCCATTCCTCTTGCTCCTCCTCTATACTGCCAAAAAGACTGTCCAAAGCCCATAGCCGCAGCCATAGCCCATGAGCATGTCAGCTTCTAAGATCTTTCAAGAGAATTCCTTCCATTCTTATCCCTTCCACTACTTCACCTTCCTTCCAGGCCCTGCTCCGAGCTGGCCGACGCGATCGTGGCCACGGGCCGCCGCGCGCTCGAAGAGGTTGGCCCCCTTCGGTGAAGATCGACTCTGAAATGACCGGGAGACAGGACTCAGGAGATATGAAAAGGGTCTCCCACTCACGTGGGAGAATGAAACCTATATATATCTCATGATTATCTCATGGTTTCATATCTCCTGGTGACCTCATTCTTCTTTTTGAAGCATGTGCGGAGATGCAACCTTCCCACTCATATCACCTTTCCACCTTCCAGGTCCATAGTCCGTCTCCAGAGTCTTCCGTTTCACTTCCTCCAGGCGGCCAACTTCATCGAGGCGGCCACTTCAATGGTCACAATAGAACAATAGACTTATAACGCGAAGCGCTGACAACCAGCAAGGAGGGAGTCAGAGTTGCACGGTGGTTGTACATGCTCAATCATGATCAGCTATTCTTATTGCAGCCGGTCAACAACAGTGTATCTAATCATGGTTGACCAGATTGGTACAGTATGAGTATATAGGTGATGTGTTTGAGTCCTTTTTGCCAACAAAGCCAGGCAGGGGAAGGGCTTGAAAGTTTGCGGCCTGATGAAGTCATAGGAAGTCTATACGCCTATGATTAGCAGTTGCCTTTGAGGGTTCAGCTTGATTTGGTTTATACAAATTGCAGTGGAAGTACAGCTTGGGCATGCTTGGGCAACAGGTGCTGCTGATGATGTATTCCAGGCATTCCAGTGTTCCCTTAGCTATCAGTGAATGAACACAGTGCAAAGTTTTCCGCATTGCCTCCAGGCCAACTGGGAAGGAGCCAAAATCGTCTACGGGGACACAGACTCCGTCTTCGCCTCCTGGCCGAGCTGGTAGAACCGCTGCCGCCGGAGGAAAAGGCAAACAACAATCAAAGATGGGTGAAGCTGGTGAAGAAAAACTGACGAGTGCTTAGTACGGATTTCGCCCCCAATGGAGATTCTGGATCCAGCCCTCATTCCCTGCGAGTCACCAGGTGAAGAAAAATGAAGAACATATCCTGTATCAGGACCGTCCTTCAAGGACTGTGGTAACTACCCCAACCAAAAAAACAGCTTCAAATATGTATCTTCAAATGGCATCAGGACCCAAATGCCGCACAACTTGGCTCGCCAGTCCAGTGTCACCTGGATGTTTGCAAGAATTGGTATTTTTACTAATTATGTACATGCATGAATTTATAAAATGCTTTGCACTTTGTTGGAAGTCTTCCCAGCATTTGACACTTTCTTTGGGACCATCGGATGCATCATGTTGCCTCGTACGACCAAAATTGGAACGTAAAAACTTTTGTCGTCGATACTTGACTTTTTGGGACGGTCCGAGGTGCAACTCAAGGGCTACTCTTTGGAGGAAGCCTTTGGTGCTGGCCGAGAGATTTGTGCCAAGGCGCCCGTTGGTCTCTTCTCTGCGCCCCCGAAGCATAGAAGATCATAGAAGCGTAGCTTTGGTTCAAAATGCTTTAAGAACAGCTGAGAGAAGCGGTTGAAGCATGTGAAAGCATGGGTGGGCCACTTGATGTGCAATTAGGCAGAGATAGGCACTACGGAAGAGCCGTGCTGTTGTTTTCAGTTTTATATTGGTTAGGTGGCTTATGACCGCTTGCAACATGTACTTTGTGTGGATATCTTGGGTCAGCGGGTCAGAATGGCCGTCAATCCACCGGTTTCTGCCACGTTTCTGCAGGTTTCTGCGAAGCATCCAGCACCGGTGGAATTAGAGTTCGAAAAGGCACCGCAGTTCTTGGGTGTTTTTCGGGCCGGAGCTCCTCATCCCCAAAAGCCCACCACTATAGACACATCGCCAATGTTGTTGTTTTCCTTCTTCAGTTGGGCGAACCCGTGTCCGACTAGTTGGCCAGAAAAGGCCCGAGTGATCGAGTTGACGGAGGTCTACATGCCCTGCCTGTGCCTCACCAAAAAGCGCTATGGGGGCTTAGCCTATGCTGGGCTGCCAAAGAAGCGAAGTCGAGCGGGACGACGGACGAGACGGTGGTCTTGGCTTTGAGGTGAAGAATGGGTGGCTTGGAAGAAGACCTATAAGATATCAGTTATTCCGGTCAGTTCCCAGTGGTTCCCAGTGGTTCCCACCCCTGATGCGGACCCGTTGGCCCAGTGGTTCGGTGCCGGAAGCGTCGTTCGGCTGCACCGTCGGACTTCTTTCCGGCTCCCCGGGAGGTCAGGACACATCTGAAGTGCCAAAAGACTAATGGTGGCTTCTCATTTTTTTGGAAATTGTTTCTTGTTCTGATCAGCGTTATCCTCGGCCATTGCCGGCCGTACAACCTCACATCATCCCACAAATCCACATCACCCTTCCTAAGGGAGACCCTTTTTGTCACCAGGAAAGCCAATATTGATAAAAAGTGGGCATTCAGAACATCTTGGGACAGAGCCGTGTACAAAAGTGCAGACTGCCAAGATCGATCGAGTGGGCTCAAAATGCCAGATGGAAGGAAATTTTGACCAAAACAGGTTGACCAAGAGAGATTCAAAGCGTTTTAAGGTGGTTCAAGAAGAAGTGTTTTCAAGACGATCAGTAGGGAACACGACAACGAGTTGTTGGTGGTGGGTCCTGAAACGTGTGTCAGTTCATTTTCCACCATTTGTTTTTCCATGGGTAAATTTCGAGATGCTTTCCTGGGGCACTTCACTTTTTCAGTTGGTCGTCCTCAACTTTCCCTTGATCCTTTGAGCATCGATTGGGTGACCATCGATGGACCGCTGAGGCCAAAGCGCCGAGTGAAGGTGGTGTTGGTCGCTTCGAGGCCAAAGGCTTGGAAGCCATCCGCCGCTCGGCCGAGAAAGCCCAGTGCTTTGATGATATGATGTACAAGTGACACAGTGAAGGTGGGTGAACGTCTTAGGATGCTATACGACACTGTACATTGAGGATCGAGGGGAGCGCAGAAGTCTGGGCTCCTCATTGGCTGTTTTCTGGTGCTTCTGTTCTGGAGGTGCCGGGTGGGTCAGGTTGTTTTCACCTTTTGGTCGGGCTTGCGACCCGTTTCTGTATCTTTTTCCTTTCCTGAGGCCGTGACCAATGCCGAATGGCCAGCAACGTGCGCTGACGGCAGTGGGTTGCACCACCAGGGGCTCGACGTACCAAAACTCCAAGAGGTGGCACGATCCGGGGCTATCCAAAGATCACCCTCAGTAGATGTATTTATCTTGACATATCCCGGACTTGCGATGGACCATTTCGGAATCGAGCTTGGAGAGTATGAGGTATTATGAGGTCCTGTTTGAGTGTAAGAGGCTTCTTGTGCTTGCTGTGTCGTGGGTTTGTGTGGGTTTGTTGGAATGTGTCGATATGCAGGTCATGAAAAGACCTAGCTGAACGAATCCACTCGTCCAAGGTTCAGAACGAAGTCCTGAACGACTTCTTCCGAAGCAAGGAGATTTGTTCTCCTGGACATGCATGTCCCATTTTTGGATTGATTTGATCTACCTGTTAAGACAAGATACATCCTGTTACGGCCATGCCTCTCATTCTGCAAAATCGCACATTGAGAGCAGTAATTGTGGGAATTTGCCTTGGGGGGGCCTCCTTTTTGAGGCACATTTCCAAGTTGCTGTTGACCTCCAGGTTCTACTCAACTCCCAAACCCCAAGGTTTCTTCGAAAGAGGATCGCATGGGACAGCTGCATCCAAATACATCCAAATACAGCCGCTGGGACCATAGGTTGTCACTGACCACCCCTCAAAGGCGTGACCCTAAAGCGAAACCATGACATGATGTTTTCAACCTGTGAACGCAAAACTGTGTTCCTCCGTGTTCCACCGTGTTCCGAGCGA